AAATGCCCTACCCACTGTGCTATTGCTCCAGCCCCTGCCTTTGCATTTGACTACCATATTTTCTCTGACTACCATATTTTCTCCTAATAAAAAATTTTAGTGGCTATGTTTATGGGATAAAGCAAAATCACCATGATCTGAAGACAGGATTTGTGTCCTCTTCTAATATGAAATGGCTGAACAAAAACAAAATAAAATAAAGGAGTCAATTGCATAAAAGAGGATGTGAGGTAGCATTTAAGAAGAATCATGTTATAAAATAGATGTTGAATTATAATTTTAAATCTGAAGTCTATATAAACCAAAATGACTTCAATAAAAATCTTAAAAACAGCAATGATAAAGACTTCCAAATTACTATTAAAGAAACAAAAACATGGAAAAAAGTCTACATGAAAGAAAAAAAACTTGTGAATTTAAAAATAGGTACGGGTTTTTTTGCAACTTTTTGTTGTTGCTGTTGTTTATGTTTGGGGGCTACACCTGGTGATGCTCAGGGGTTACTCCTGACTCTATGGTCAGGAACTACTCCTGTTGGACTCTGGAAACCATACAGAATTGCAGGGATCAAACCCAGGTCAGTTGCATGCAAGGCAAACACTCTACCCATTATACTATTGCTCCAGCCTCAAATATCTGTGTGACCTTTTGAAAAACAGTGGAGTTTTTTAAATTATCCAAACCTGCAGGAAAAGAAACAAAATTAGAAAGGCACAGGAAAAAAAATTAGAAGGGCAGAAACTCAGAATAAAAAAAATACTCCTTCCTATCAACTCTTACTAAATTACTTATAAAATTTTTTTTTCATTCAATCACCATGAGATTCACAGTTATAAAGTTGTACCTGATTGGGTTTCAGTCATACAGCTTTCCAGTATTTATCCCTTCACCTTACTAAATTACTTGAGCATAGCAAAGTATTCATGCATTTGCCCTCCCCCTTTTTTTTCTTATTTCACTGCAGATTGGGAAAACCTCACCCTGAACTAGTTTGGGCCAAAAAGTGGGGCTAGGAGTAACCCCTGAGGTATTTGGAGAAAGCGGGGGGGGGGGGGGGCCCACTGGTGCTGCCTATCTTAGTCTGGTGAATAGCTGAGTTGCATCACCTTTTGCTCCTTCCTTAAGCAAAAGAAGGGAGGGAACCCCACCGACAGACAGCCCTTCCAGTTCCAATGCCTAATACCCCCTCCCCACCACCCCCAAGGGGCTGCCATTCCCAGCACTTCCTCTTTAAGGCCGACCTCACCTCGGACAGCTTGGTGAACTTATCATGGCTTCCAAACTTAGGAGAAATATCTTGCTCACTCTAACCTACCCTGTCCACCTGTCCAGCCTCGCCCCCCTCTCCTTTCCCACAGATCTCTGGCCACAGCTGCCTGACTTAAGTTCCTCCGACAACCACCACCCTGAAACTTCTTCCCTTCCCTTCCAGTCAATCTCAACTTCTTCAGTGCCCCTCCCCCTGGGCCAGCTGCATCACTGCCTCCTGTCCCCACCCCCAAGTACCCTCTCAGTACAGGCTGTACTTGGCCTTTGCAGCGATTGTTACAATATAATTAATCATTGTATAAAATCTGACTTCTCCGGGAGAATACGAACTCCCAATGATTGGGAGTCAAGTCTACCTTATCTGATCTCTCGGCCCCCTGGCACGGGGCACGGCTCCTCATAGCTGCTCGGTAAGTTATTGCTAAATAAGAGTTAAACGCAAGCAATTCTCCTCAACTCCTATTTATCAGGCACTGGCCCAGGAACTTGATATGTATCAGCGGAGGGAGGGGAAAGAAAAAGAGAAACAAAAATCCTTGACATTATGGACCTTATATCCTATTGGGGCAAAGAACTGCTGAAGGAGATAAACAACGGGGACTCTAGGCGGGTGCTAAGTGCCAAGAAGGAAAAAAAACGTCGCTGGGGTGGGGGGAGGGAGGGAGAAGAAGGAGCAGCTGTGAGTGGTGAATGTTTTTAGATTGGGCGGCCAGGGAAAACCTTTGGGAGAGAATATGGCTTTTTCCAATAGAGTCGAAGGAAGTGTGGTTCTCTGGAGAAAAAGAGCCTTCCAGGCAGACAGAACAAGTGCAAAGGCCCTGTGGCTGGAGCATGCTTGATCATCTCTGGCACAGCAAAGAAGCCGGCGTAACTGAATTGGCATTAAGGGTAAGGGAGACCAAATGTCTTTTAATCTGTCCTGCGTATCCATGGAATCATTTACACCATATGTTTCTCGGGCAGCGCTTCTAACCAGCAGCTAGAGAACCAGAGGGGGGGGGGGGGCTCTGCCTGCTGCCCCTCCCATCCTTTCTTCCTAAACTGGCCCCAGCCACTCTCCCGTCCTTTCTTCCGAAACTGGCCCAAAGCCACTCCCTGGACGAAGGCATCTGCCACACCCAGCTCAGCATGAAACCGCTGCTCAGCCATCACTGAGCGGCTCTCCCTGGAAGGAATCGGCTCTCCCTGGAAGGAATCGGGTGCATGAGAGCACATTGCTCCAAAGCCCTCCGCTCGGCTCTGCTAACTACGAGGAGAACTTCAGCAGTCATTTGCCTCCAACATCTGAACGAAATTAGAGCCTATACAGTTACAAGCACATGGTGATGTCTGGGTCTGATAGATTCAGCTCTCTATTCTTTCTTCCTTATAAACACTTCAAAACTTTTTCTTTTTGAAAAGGTAAGAGAGATACAGAAGACTCATGAAAAAAGTCTGCGCAAGGCTAAGTTAAAGTGGATTTGTAATGAAAGTCTACACTTAGGTAAATAAAATAGAGCCACGCACCCAAGAACAAATAAGGGTGTGTAAGGCAAAGGGTGCCAGCCATGGCCTGTCTATGGGCCCACAGACTCGGAGTTAGTCTGTGGGGCTAGAAGTCAGCATAGTAGTTACCTGCTGGCAGGAGAAGAAAATATCCTTGATCTTGGAGACGGATATAAGAATTTAGAGTTGTAAAAGGACGTGTGCATTTAATTCCGTGATTAATCAAATCGTTGCCTGCCCTTCTTTGGACCTGTGGCTCCCAGTTACCCATTTAACTGTTCACTCTTTCAGCTGATACCTGTTTCGTTTTTTTTTTTTTTGCTCCACACCTGGCTCTGTTGCTTCCAGTGGCTCTTTTTGGGCCACGTGGTGCCTGAGAGTCAGCACTCAAGTCTCTTGCCCCAGCTGGGCTCTCTTCATGCCCCCTTTCTTTCAGCACCTTACCCCAGGCCCAATGTCCAGGGGGTGAGCCAGGCAAACGTCAGGGGGTCAGGGTTGTGGGCACTGGATCACAGCCTGTGTGTGAGTCCCTGGGCTTTGCAGGGATGGCAGCTGGGCACATGGGCTGTTTTGGAAGGAGGTGCTGACCCTTGCTAAGTAGCTCTGTTTGTTCCAGTGTGCTGCCCGGAAGGACAGCATGTGCCCATCACGTTTTTTTTTTTTTTGTGGACACATCCCCTCCTGCCTCATTCTCTCCCTTCGGATCTCCAGAACTTTCTGCTGGTGCTTCACTCATTCCTGGAGAGAGCTCTGGTTTCCAGCCATCCACCGGCAGTCCTGATAACCCGTTTTGTGTTTGCATATAAAGGGAGCCTATCTCAGTGGATGGGCCTGTCTTATCTTCCTTCTACACCCCACCCCCATCCCCCAACTTTCAGCACCATCCTTTGACCCAGTTCCTTCCCCGCCCCCCAGAGCTTCAACCCAGCCAGAACTCTCTGGGGTCCTCCCTCGCCAAGACGTCCGTCGTCCCCCACTGCCCGCGGGCAGAGGGAGCCCAGTCGGTTCACGTTAACTTGGCAAAGCACTCATCCAGTGGGGCTGGACGGAAAGCCAAGGGTACTACCCGTTCCCTGCCTTCACCAATCCTTCCACAGCAGGGGAAGTGATGCACGACCCCAGGCCCAGATACCGGAGTTCTCCACTCGCGGCTACTTTGTCCCTGTCCTTCCTAAGTGTCAGGACACCGATCTGCGCGCTCGTCAAGCATCGAGCCTGAATCTCAACCCCGGGGGGTGGTGGTGGAGGGCTGCAAGCCCCTTTTCCCGGAGGGGCAGGGGGCCGAGGCGTCAGACAGCGCGGGCACGCAGCCGCCTGGATTTGAACAGCAACTTCCCGAGGGAAACGCCCTGTTTCGGCGACGGGGGCCACCTAGCGCGAGGCCAGTGGACGGGAGTCAGCGTCCGGCCGCGGGGGACCTGGAGTTGCGCCACGCCCTTTCTGCGCAGCTCCCCCACCCCACCCCAGGCGCCAGGGGGGCCCGAGCCGGGGCTGCCGGCTCGACGCGCGGTGGGCGGCAGTCGGGACCCCGGGCGGCAGCTCCGAAGCTCCGCGTGGCGGGGCACGGCCGGCGGGCGCGGGGGAAGCCGGCCCCCACGCCGAGCCTCGAGGCGCCGCGTGCGGCGTGGCTGTGGCGGCGCGCGCCAACTGAGCGGAACTACTTCCCCGGGGCGGCCGCGGGCCGGGGTCCCCCGCGGGACGGCCGCGCGGGCGGGGGCGGGGCGGGGCGGGGGGCCGCGGCCCGGCGCCCGCGCCCCGCCGCCGCGGCCACGTGCGCCCCGCCGCGCTCGCACGCTCCGCCGCGCCGCGCCGCGCCGGGCCGCGGGGGCCCCCGGCAGGCACGCGCGTCCCCCGCGCGCACGCACGCACACACACACAGACACACACACACACGCTCACACACACACACACACTCCCGGGCACGCACACCGCCGCCGGCCCGGCCCACGTCCGCCACGCCCCGCCCTCCCCGCGCCCCGCCCCCGCCCTCGCGGCGCCGACCGCCGCCCGCCCATTGGCCGGCGGGCGCGTGACGCGCGGCGCCCGGCCCCGCCCCTCGTCAGTCACTCGGCGGAGGCGGCGCTGGCGGGGACTAGTCTCGGCCGGAGACTGGCGGCGGCGGCGGCGGCGGCGGCCGGAGCTCGAGCCCAGCGGCGGCGGCGGCGGCGGCGGGCGGGCGGGCGCGGGGGAGGGAGGGGGCCGGCGCGACGGCTCTCCGGACGCGGCGCTTCTCGGCCGGGCGAGCGGCGCCGCTTTTCGGCTGCGGGGGGGGGCGGGGGTCCAGCCCATCCATGACCATGGGCGACAAGAAGAGCCCGACCAGGTACCTGCTCGGCGGCGGCGGAAGGGGAGGGCGGCCGGGGGCGGGCGGGGGCCGGCGGCGACTAGGCCCCGGAGCCACCCGGGGCGGGGGGAGGCGCCGCTAAGATGGAGATCCGGGGGCGGGGGAGGCGGTGTCGCTCCCGCTCGGGGCCGGCGGCCGTGCGCGCCGCAGCCATGGCGGCTCCTCCGCGCCGCCCGCCGCCGCCGCCGCCGCCACTCCTCCCAGACAAAGGGAGATTTAACCAGGTGGGGCGGGCGGCAGGACGCGAGCCCGGGGCCGAGGGGCGGCCGCCGGCCCGCTCCCCGCGCCGGCCGCCGGCTGCCCTCGGGGTCCGGCCCGCGGCGTCCCGGCGCCCCCCCCCGCCCCGGCCCGGCCCGCGCTCGCGTCCACAAGTCCGCCCGCTTCCTGCGCCCGCGCGGCCCTTCCCGGCCCCGCCGCCTGCGCGCGGGCGAGCGGCGGGCGGACGAGCGAGCGGGCGGGCGGGCGAACGGGGCGCCGGGCCCGGCCCCGGGAGGCGGCGGGCGGGCGGGCGGGCTGGCCGGGTCGGGGGCGCCCCGGGCTGGCTGCCCCCGCGCGGAGCCCGCCCTCGCCCGGGGTGGTGGGTGGGTGGGTGGGTGGTCGCCCGGGCGAAGTTTCCTGCGCGGCCGCCGCGGCTCACCAGCGCCCGTGTTGTTTTTTTTTTTTTCTGTCTCCCCCCCCCCCCCTCGTCCCCGGCTCCCCCGCCCGCCCGCCCGCTCCTCCCAAGGCCAAAAAGACAAGCCAAACCTGCGGCAGACGAAGGGTTTTGGGATTGTAGCGTCTGCACCTTCAGGAACAGCGCCGAAGCCTTCAAATGCAGCATCTGCGACGTGAGGAAAGGCACCTCCACCAGGTACTCGGAGACCGGCGTTCCCTTTTGTTGAGGGACTCTTCCCCCCTCCCTATTTTTTTTTTTTAAAGAACAGAAAACAAAAAAAAAAACCCAAGTGGAGCCAGAGGCTGGTGAGCTGTACTTTGTGCCCTCTTTCCAACTTGTTGATTGGGGCATTTTCTGCCTTGCTTGGGTGGGTGATGATGCCTTCTCTGCGGTGTGCCTTTAGCGTTGGGTGCAAAGCCTCATGCTCACTAAATGATTTATGGGGAGGGAATTTTTCCAGGGTTTCGTCTTCTATTCAAACAGACGCTGGATTTATTTGACACTTGTATCCATTGGCTTATTGGTATTGGCTCAAAAGGAGGAAACCATGCTTTTGCTATAGATTGTAGGGTGTTAGACTCCCCCCCCCACCTCTTTTTGGCCATGTGCTGAGTGTTTTTAATTTGCCTGCCCTGGATTATTTTTCTCTTCCCGGAGAAATGTGGTAGTGCCGTAATGCTGGTTATGCTTTTGCTTCTTTGAGCTGCAAATGGCTTATTTTCTTGCACTTGAAAAGAAACGGTGGGGTTTGATAAGTGTGGTTTTTTTTTTTTTTTTTTTTGGTTTAAAGGGGGAGACTAAACTGTCAGCTTTATTCCCCCTTATTAACTGCTGTGAGTGGTGATCGAGGAAGATTTTTATGAAAATGGTGAAAAATGAGAAGTGAAGTTTGTGTTTAAAGCCTGATTAGAACAAAAACCACGGAATTCTTTTTTCATTTAGTGGAGGTAATAACCTGCACTTGTTATCAAAAGTTTACCATTTTCACTTGAATAAAATATGAAAGCTGGTTTTGCAGTCTTAAAATGATCTTTTTACTTGTGTCTGGAATTTGTTTCAATGATGTTCGAACAGAGTTTGAAGTTTAAACTGTTCTTGCTGTCATTTAATGGACAGGCATTGGGGGTGTGTGTGTAAGAGCGGAGAAGTGGATTCCTGGTGGATCCTTGAAGACTTAAAGATGGCAAAAATCTCATTTTATCAGGCCACATTTTTTAATTGTTGGTGTTTCAGTAGGACCAAACACCATAGTAACTGGTGTTTGAAAATGAGTGTGTCTTTATTACTGCTTTATGTCTGGGTTTAGTAGGATATTGGGAAGTTTTAAAAGAATAGAACTCTGGGAATAGTACTGTTACTGATGGAGCACTACTCTGAATTCTAAACTCATGTCTTTTTTTGTTTTACAGAATGAATTTAGTTTAACGTTTCAATTTTGAACTCAGTAGATGTTTGTCTTGTTATCTAAAATAGGGAATTCCGTCAAATGGCACAAAAGTTTAGAAACGTATTTGTTATTAAAAGCAGTAGTGATTGTATTTTATTTATGAGTAATGTTTTTTACATGTAGAATCCCTCAGAGGCCAAACCTCTTTATTGTGGTTTTGCTTTGAGTGTTACTGTAGATGATGTTCAAGTAAATGACTAGGAAACTCCTAAGAACTTGAGAACTTAACTAGTGAAGAGAAACTTAAACCGAATTCAAAAGTTTGCATCTGCTGTATTGCTGGGAATAATTATCTCAAAGTGAAATGCATTTCAGTTTCTATATGTATAAGAAAATTAATCTTGATTCATCAGCTTATTTTGAAGCACGTGAAAGGTTTTGATTTTGAAAACAATGTTTAGTTTTTTCAGCACCACAGATAATATCAAGTTCAGTTTTTAAGAAAACGTATTAAACTATGAATAACGAGTATCTTAGAATTTTTTTCTGGAGTAAGAGTCTCAATATTTTTAAGGATCTTTGTGTATTTTTTATTTTATGTCTACTTTTAAGTAGAATTTGAACAAGAGATCTGAGATAGTTTGAACTCAATTGTTTTTTTTTAAATAGCCTGAATTTGTTTCCTTTTCAGTGTCGATTTGTTTCCACTGGTCAGTATTTCAGATCCTAAGAGTCATTAATTGGAAGGCTTCTATCATTTTGGCTCTTAAAAATGAATTATTAATGTTGTCTCCTGCCCTTCCAGTCATTGTTGGTTGTTGCTATTTGATAAAGGGTCAGTCTCACATACATTAGTTGCACGTGTGGTCCCTCCCCCTGTGGTTATCTTTAGGGTTCGGACATCAGGTTGCTGTGCTCACTGAGGTTTGCAAGCCCATAGTTGGCTTTCGCTGGTGCTTGCCAGGGACAGTACTCCGTATTCTTAGGCACACAGGTTATGATTGTGGTGTTCGCTGGAACTTGCCTGTCCTGGGGTGGTGCTTACGCTGCCTTTTTTTCATTGCGATGTACTTTGGGGATTGTACCCCATCTTTTGTGGTGCTCATACACGACTGTGTCTGTGGTGTGACCAGAAGTCATCTGTGATGCTGGGGATCACAGCCTAGCTGCCAGTCTGGAACAGCAGCAGAGTTGGAGTAACAGCTCAGCATAAGTGAAGCACTGGGCTTTGAATCCCGGACCAAGCCTTGAAGACAGATTCTGGCGCTATTTCTTCTCTGGCTAGGCTTCAGGTAGAAAGGTGAATTTCACAGAAGTTCATCTTCACCTGTTTTTTCAGTGCATTAACTATTAATTTCTCTGTGATACCAGTTTTCAGAGCTTTTAGTTGTTTTTGATTCTGTGGACTTCTTCCCTTTACTCATTGACGGGAGGCACACCTGACTGTGCTCAGGGGCTACTCTCTTGACTGTGCTCAGGAAGACCATGAGGTGCACCTGGGCTCCCTGCATGCAAAGCACACACCCCAGCCTCCCAGTCTTTTGAGTTATTTCTTAGACACATGTAGTTTCTTGATACCTCAAAAGTTTGATGTTTTCAACCTTGCAGCAGATTTGGTTTTGATGGCAGTAGAAAGTTTGTTTGGTTCTGGATGCAAAGTCATGGCATAACTGTGATTTAAAATAGTTTTTAGTTAATAAAATGGCTTCTATAACCTGTCTGTGAATATGGAAATTGGGTTTTATTGCTCCTTGCTGATGTTTTATAGTGTAACCTTGTTGGTTAGCTGTTTTGTCATTTATCATTCTTGTTATTACTGTTTTCATTCACCAGTCAGCCAAAGGAAAGGACCTTTGTATTAATTAATGACCTCTTTATCTGGTGTTATCAGGCAGAAAAATAGGGTATATACCGTGCCCTCTGAAGATAGAATTGAATTCTACAGTTGGATTAGGAAATCGCCGTACATCTAAATTCCTAGTATGTGAAAAATACAGCTTAGGACATTAGGGATGGGATGAGGCTTTTAAATTGTTGGTAAGACATATATCCAAATGGTAATCCAAATCATAAAGAAGAGTGTAAGTGGACACGCGTGATGTGCTTGCTGAAGGATGCCGAGCAGTTCGTGTTTGAGAAGCAACTAGGAAGATCCCCTTCCCCCTTTTATTTTGTATACAAGGAGAATTGATTCCCACAAAACACCTGCCAACTTTACTGTTGCCTTGTGTACCAGGTATGTTTAATTCTGTACTTGGAATGATGATTGAGAAAGTCTTATCTCTTTGTCCAGGGAACAGAAATAATAGAAACTTGTGAAAAAGGAGGGTGGGTGGAAATAGTAAATAGGCTGCTGTCTGAGGTCCTGGGAAAGTAGGTCTGTGTGTTTTTGCGCTTATAATTTTCATAACTATGAAAATCATCCAGAGTGTATACAGTTAAATGATTTTTTTCATCTTTTGGGCTATATGCTCGATGCTGCCTCATAAGGCAGTTGTGCTGCTTGGAAAGGTGCCTTCCACATGCCTGTGTACTTTAAGCCTTTCAAGGTGGAAAATAAAGGACCTTGTGTGTGGGGGGGGGGCGTGGCGGGGGAAGAAACACTATCCCTTTCTAGGTGATAGCTGAAGTAGGATTTCCCAGACTGCTGCCATTCTCATGAAAGAGGATACCAGTTTTCAAAAGGAAAAAAACATCTCACAAATTCACTAACTTACCGAACTGCCACTGTCCTTCAAATTGATGTTGTTGGGTGTTGGGCATAGTGTTTTCCTAGACATGGTGAAAAATTGATTTTACTTCTGGTCTTGTTATTTCTTGGAACGCAAGGATATCTTTATTGTAAATGAAAATGTATAAGACCTAGCTTTAACTCTTGTCGATGTTTTGAAATTAGTGCTGCTTAAATCAAACTCGAAAAACTGGAAAACCTTTGTTTTGGGTAGTTACCATAGATTTTAATTGTTGTTATTTGAATACTAACCCTCTGAAATTTGGTGTACTGCTTTCAAAGCTTTTTATTTTATTTTTAAAATGGCAGGGATTGAACCCTGGTCGGCAGCATGCAAATCAGCACCTTACCTGCTGTATTACCTCTTCAGCCCCTGCTCTTAAAGCTTTTTATAGACCTATGAAAGTGAGGAATTCACTTTAAACATTAAGAGAATTGGGTAGGAATGGCTAACTTTAAAAAAGTTGGTAGGCAGGGTATTGAATTTGAAGTTGTTACTCTGGAGCGATAGCACATCGGGTAGGGCGTTTGCCTTTCACGCAGCCAACATGGCTGACCCGAGTTCGATTCCTCCACCCCTCTCGGAGAGCCCGGCAAGCTACCGAGAGTATTCGATATGCCAGACACAGTAACATCAAAGTCTCCAATGGAGACGTTACTGGGCCCGCTCGAGCAAATCGATGATCAACGGGAGGGCCTTTACTTTACTTTACTCAGATTTGTGTAAAATGATTTTCTTGTTGAGGAACTTCTGATTCCTCTTTTTTAGTGGGGGGGGGGGTGCCACACCTGGTTGTGCTCCAGGGTTATTCCTGGCTCTGCACTCAGGATTACTTGTGCCGCACTTCGTCCTCGGAGACCCTATGGGGTGCTGGGGATCCCCGGGTCAGCAGTGTGCAAGGCAAGACACCCTTCCCCATTGTACTATGGCTCTGGTCCCAGAAACTTCTGGTTCTTTAATTTTAACTTTGGACTTTTTCTTCTTAAACTCATATTCCCTAACAACTCAAAATACCTTGATTAATTGGTCATGAAGTACTTTTAGAAGTAATTTGGAAAACACAACATAGTTACACA